TGCTGTGGCAGGTTGGTGAGGAAGGATCCTGGTGTCAACAGTCTGAGCTGCATTTCCTGAATGAGGGACAGAGCATGGATGGAGGCTGGTCTGAGGACATAGCATGGGTGGGTGGAGGCTGGTCTGAGGACAGAGTGTGGGTGGGTGGAGGCTGGTCTGAGGACAGAGCGTGGGTGGGTGGAGGCTGGTCTGAGGACAGAGCGTGGGTGGGTGGAGGCTGGTCTGAGGACAGAGCGTGGGTGGGTGGAGGCTGGTCTGAGGACAGAGCGTGGGTGGGTGGAGGCTGGTCTGAGGACAGAGCGTGGGTGGGTGGAGGCTGGTCTGAGGACAGAGCGTGGGTGGGTGGAGGCTGGTCTGAGGACAGAGCGTGGGTGGATGGAGGCTGGTCTGAGGACAGAGCGTGGGTGGATGGAGGCTGGTCTGAGGACAGAGCGTGGGTGGGTGGAGGCTGGTCTGAGGACAGAGCGTGGGTGGGTGGAGGCTGGTCTGAGGACAGAGCGTGGGTGGGTGGAGGCTGGTCTGAGGACAGAGCATGCATGGAGGCTGGTGCTGGTTAGAGGACAGTGCATGGGTGGATGGAGGATGGTCTGAGGACAGAGAATGGGTGGATGGAGGCTGGTCTGAGGACAGAGAATGGGTGGATGGAGGCTGGTCTGAGGACAGAGAATGGGTGGATGGAGGCTGGTCTGAGGACAGAGAGTGGGTGGATGGAGGCTGGTCTGAGGACAGAGCGTGGGTGGATGGAGGCTGGTCTGAGGACAGAGCGTGGGTGGATGGAGGCTGGTCTGAGGACAGAGCGTGGGTGGATGGAGGCTGGTCTGAGGACAGAGCGTGGGTGGGTGGAGGCTGGTCTGAGGACAGAGCGTGGGTGGAGGCCGGTCTGAGGGACAGAGCCGGGTGGTGGGTGGAGGCTGACCCAAGGGACAGATCGTGGGTGGGTGGAGGCTGGTCTGAGGACAGAGTCGCAGAGCTGGCTTGAGGACAGATGTGGGTGGGTGGAGAGGTCTGGCCCTAAGGACAGGCATGCGGGTGGTGGAGGCTGGTCTGAGGACAGAGCGTGGGTGGGTGGAGGCTGGTCTGGAGGACAGAGCGTGAAGTGGTGGAGGCTGTCTGAGGACAGAGCTGGGAAGTGGAGGCTGGTCGAGCCAGGAAGCTGGTGGGTGGAGGACAACGGAGGACGAGGGTGGGTGGAGGCTGGTCTCTGAGGACAGAGCGTAAGGGTGGAGGCTGGTCTGAGGACAGAGCGTGGGTGGGTGGAGGCTGGTCTGGAGGACAGGAGCATGGGTGGGTGGAGGCTGGTCCTGGTTAGAGGACAGTGCATAGGTGGATGGAGGCTGGTCTGAGGACAGAGCGTGGGTGGGTGGAGGCTGGTCTGAGGACAGAGCATGCGTGGAGGCTGGTGCTGGTTAGAGGACAGAGCATGGGTGGAGGCTGGTCTGAGGACAGTGCATGGGTGGAGGCTTGTGCTGGTCTGAGGACAGAGCATGGGTGGAGGCTTGTGCTGGTCTGAGGACAGAGCATGGGTGGAGGCTGGTGCTGGTCTGAGGACAGAGCATGGGTGGAGGCTGGTGCTGGTCTGAGGACAGAGCATGGATGGAACATGGGTTGAGGCTAGTGCTTGTTGTAGTAGCAGAACATGGGTTGAGACTTCTGGTTCTAGTTGGAGGAGCATAGGTAGATGCTGGTCATAGTTTGAGGAAGAGTGTATATTTGGGGGCTGGAGCCTTGTTTATGCGTTACAGGACTCTGTGCAGCACAGTTTGTCAAGCAAGTGATGCTTTAGAGAAGATGCATTATTTGATCGGAAATTTTATGAGTTCTCTGTGAGTAATCTCTGTAGCAATGTTTCAGCACTCTGCATTAGTAACATGTTTATAATTAAAGGTTTACTTCAAGCACCATGACTACTTCAGTGATTTGAAATGCTCATGGTTCCTGGAGTCTGTATGTGCAGTGTTTCATTATCAAACTCTGTACATGAGATTAACTCCTTTGCTGCTGGAGGTGTAGCTCCACCTCCTGCAACATCATATGGGGGAGGCGGGGGCTACATACTAGTTCAGAACTAGAGTTCCAGGCTGGCTAATATAAGATCTGCAGATATTGGATGCATCATGTCGACACACACAATATTCATGCGACTGGCGTCAGAGACCATCTAAATAAAATAGCCATGTTATACTGGGCTATTTCTGTGGAAGTACCTCTGGCGGCTGTCAGTGTGATAGCCACTAGAGGCATTTAAACCATGCAGTGCAGAACAGTGATATTTTACGCTACACTGTTAAAAGGAGAGGAATTTTGCACCCAAACCACTTCATTAAGAGTATCCCTTTAATCCATTTGATGGAACCGTGGAAGTCCTCTGTATTAGGTCATGGATGAGGAGTGTAACATATCTATGAAACTGATTAACTGCAACAAATCCACAGATGTAGGAATTTTATATATGTGCCAGGTATACAACAAGAAATAAAAGCATTTTTCATTCTAAATTGGGATATGATCAAACAAAAAATAGAGTTGACAGGCAAGCAACCTAAACCTCATACAGTTACGTCCTGGGCCTGCTTGGAAATGTAAGATGGTGGAAAAAAGGATCAAATCCATAAATGTGCTTAGAAGGGGATGATATACAAATTTGAATAAGTTGCCATCTTTCGATTTACAATAAATGTTACTTTATCAGCTAACTGGATAAATAAAAAAAATACAAGCATGATTTCTCTAGAGAATTTTCTAGTAAACCGTGATAAAATGCAATGGCAGACTACTTTAACGTCTGTATAGTAGAATATGACTGAATATTTCAAGTCCTGGTAGCAATATACATATGTTACTTTTAGGGATTGTCTCCTACTGCTATTCCCCCAATCATGGCACTTTCAAATAACAAAGTGTTGCTTCAGTGAAACTATATCCTACATTGCAACATTATATCATATCAGGAGATTATCCCATGGATTGCTGCCGATTAGCCCATTCAACACACATTTAATTAACGTAACCTGTTTCTTTAGTGCAATGGTTTCCAAACCAGTTCTCAAGACACGCCTACCAGTCCAGGATTTAGGGATTACCCAGTTGTGTCAAGGTGTTGTTTTTTTTTTTTTGTTTTGTTTTTCCAACAACAATCCTGGACTGGTAGGCGTGCCTTGACGACTGTTTTAGTGGTATATTTCCTGTATGATGTTAGACCCCTGAGGGTTAACTTTAAATTATATTTTTTTTTTAAATCCTTAGGGGTTAAATATATTTAGTTAGATACTTAAAGGACCACTATAGTGCCAGGAAAACATACTCGTTTTCCTGGCACTATAGTGCCCTGAGGGTGCCCCCACCCTCAGGGTCCCCCTCCCGCGCGGCTCTGGAAGGGGGAAAGAGGTAAAAACTTACCTTTTTCCAGCGCTGGGCGGGGAGCTCTCCTTCTCCAATCTTCCTCTTCTCCTCCCATGCGGCTGAATGCGCATGCGCGTCAAGAGCTGCGCGCATTCAGCCGGTCACATAGGAAAGCATTATCAATGTTTTCCTATGGACGCTTGCGTGCTCTCACTGTGATTTTTCACAGTGAGAAGCACGCAAGCGCCTCTAGCGGCTGTCAATGAGACAGCCACTAGAGGAATTGGGGGAAGGCTTAACCCATTCATAAACATAGCAGTTTTAGAGAAACTGCTATGTTTATAAAAGAATGGGTTAAGCCTAGCTGGACCTGGCATCCAGACCACTTCATTAAGCTGAAGTGGTCTGGGTGCCTAGAGTGGTCCTTTAAATATTTGTAAAATATTTATTTATTTAGCTAGGGTGGGGAAATTGGGGGATTTACTGTTAGGGGTTAACAGTAAAAAAAAACCTTTTTTAAAAAGTTTAACCCCTTAAGAACACATGGCATGTGTGACATGTCATGATTCCCTTTTATTCCAGAAGTTTGGTCCTTATGGGGTTAAACAAAGTTTTTTTTTAAAAGTTAGTTTTTAAATGTTAAAACAAAAGTTTAAAAAGGGAAAACCATGCATATTTCCTCTACACTTGGTACAGGCTAGTGAAAAATGATACCACGCTAAGGTTTAAATATACCTTTTGAAATACCCTAGGCCTAGGGTGTCTTCTTTAGGAAATGGTATGCCTTTGTGCAGTAATTGGAAAACACAACCTACAAAAAAAAAAAAATGCCAAAGCAGGGTATGGACCTAGCGTAAAAATTCAAACTCAAATGGCTGTCTCAAATGTGCCCCTTCAACATTGTCATATACCTGGTAAAGGTACATACGTGGGTATTGCTGTACTCAGATGACATAGCAGAGCAACATATGACATATTATACTGCCGTAGCACACATAAGGTTTGCAAAATACTTATTACAAACTCATTGTGTGTGTCAAAAAGGCATAAAAAAATGCTTATTACGACTACACTAAGTACACGCTGTAGGGATCGACCGATTTTTATTTTTATTTTTTTTAGAGCCGGTACCGATAATCTGTGAACTTTCAGGCCGATAACCGTTAACTTGCCCATATTCTGTACATTTACCATTAAAAAAAAAAAAAAACTATTTCTAAAGGTAAGTGCACAAAATATACATGCCACGTGTAGTTGATGCAGTGTGTTTGTGTAGTGTGCGTATAGTGAATGCAGTGTGTTTGTGTAGTGTGCATTATATAAACACACTACACAAACACACTACATTATATATACAAAAATACAGTGCGTTATATACACAGTGTGTTTGTGTAGGTATGTAATTTGGGGGGAGGGGGCATTTTTTAATTTATTTTTTTTAAATATTTTTTTTTTGTACCCCTTCCCTGCTTCTTACTTGGCCAGGGAGGGGGGATACAGCATTTCCTGGTGGTCCAGTGGCATGAAAAGTACAGAGAGGGCCCCAGCAAACTATTACTTACCTTCCCAGCAGCTCCTTGTGTAAATCTCGTGGCCTGCGTGCCGCACGCAGCGTTGACATGGTGACCCGTGGCAGCGCTCTGACGGCCGCGAGATTTACACAGGGGAGCTGCTGGGAAGGTAAGTAAACGCTTGGTGCGGGCCCCCCAGGACCGCCAGGCTTGTTATGGGCCCAGCGGTTCTGTTACGTATTATCGGTATCTTTATTGGCCGATACTGATATTTCCGAAAATACCGATAATCGGTTGATCCCTACATGCTGGCAAAAAAAATTTCACGCTTAGGTTCAGAATATGTCTTTTTGAAATACCAAATACTAAAAAAAACTCCAAAGTGGGGTATGGACCCAGCTTCAAACTTCTAAGTTTGAAAAAAAAACGTCAAATGTGCCCCTTCATCATCCACATATACCTGGCAAAGGTACATATTGGGGTATTGCTGTGCTCAGATGACATAGCTGAGCACATAGAAAGTATTATGGACCCGTAGCACACACAAGGTTTGCAAAATATACAGTACAAACTCACTGTGTATGTCAAAAAGGCAGAAAAAAATGCTTTTTCCCACTACACTTGGTACAAGCTAGCAGAAATATTATTGCAGCCTAAGGTTCAAAATATGCCTTTTGAATTACCCTGGGATGTCTTCTTTAAGAAATGTTATGCCTTTATGGGATAGTTGGAATATGTAGCCTTCTAAAAAAAACAAAAAACTCCAATGTGGGGTATGGACACAGCTTAAATGTTCAAAATTTGAAGAAAAAAACTGAAATGGCTGTGTCTGAACTGTGCCCCTTTAACATCCACATATACCTGGCAAAGGTACATACGCAGGTATTACTGTACTCAGACAACACAGCTGAGCAACATATGAAGTATTATAAAGCCATAGCACACTTAAGGTTTGCAAAATATACAGTAGAAACTCACTGTGTGTGTCAAAAAGGCAGAAAAATTGTTTATTACCACTACACTTGATACAAGCTAGCGGAAAAAACAGTTCTTACGTTAAGGTTCAAAATTTGCCTTTGAAATACCCTCGGGTGTATTCTTTAAGAAATAGTATGCCTTTTCAGGTTCGTTGGAAATACGGACCCATCAAAACCATGTATGAAAATTCACACTTAAAAATCTGAAATTGACAGGTTTCTTTTACAGTACTGTAACTTCACAAAATAGTGTTTAGGTCATAAATTAGCCAAATTGTTTTTCTCAGAAGCAGCAACTGAGCATACTTAGGGGGAATTTATGACAGTGGCACTTATCAAATATACGAAATACCCAGCGAAAATGCAACAAGTATGTCTCACCACAAAATTTGAAATAAATTGCTGAAAAAATGGTGTTAAGTTGGGTATAATATATGTCTAATAAGATATCTTGGAGTGTCTGCTTTCTCAAATGGAAGGCCTTTTTGGGGTTATTTTGAACAGTCAAATGGCTATAATGCCACAAAATCAGACATTGGACCTACTCAACAGATGCAGCTGAATACAATATGGGGTTCTGTACAGGGTAGCACACACCAGTTTTACAAAATACACATTATATGTGTTTATGCCAAAATAAAGAAAAGAACACAATTTTACTCCAATATTTTAGCAGAGATTGGCAGTGAAATGGCTACGTAAAAGTGTCAAAATAATCTTCGGTAAATAGCCCGGAATGTCTACTTTATATAAATATATACTTTTGTGTGGCAATTTTGTTTTCTGTGATGGGTATTAAACTTCCAAGACAAACATAACTTTTAAAATTGAAAGACAGGGATAATGTACCTGAGGGGACTGGGGTAGAAAGTATTAACTCAATTATGAGTATTGAATGTCACTGGAAAATCACTTCCAGACTAGGGACTAATAATAATAATAATAAAAGCAAAAAATAAATACATTTTATTAAGTTAAATACACAATATCCCAGTCCCCTCAGGTACGCTATTCCTGTCTTTCAGTTTTCTATTTGGGGTTACCCCCCGTCCTTCAGTGTACCTAGCATTGGCTCGATCTCTGTTCTTTTTTCTTTTAACTTCTAAAATTGTTTCACATTGAAATTTTATTTTAGACCTTGTAGTTTGTTACCTGTAACTTTCAAAATAAACTGAAATCCTACACATAATATGTACTCTGTAAATCAAGACACATAAATGAATTGATTTTGAATTACTTTTCTTAAGCTGGACATATTATGCACACATTATTATGGCCAAAACTTGTTTTTTCTCAATTTTTTTTTTTTTTAGAAATGAGAATTTATACATAAATATATGGTACATCATATTAAAGCCCCTTTTGACATTTAAAAAAACAGTATATAATATGTGTTGGTATAATAAATGAGAGAGATGCAAATTGCAGTTGAACGCAAACTGCAAAAAATGCAAAAATTGCTTGTGTCCTTAAGAATATGTCCAGCTTCTGAAGCTGTGTCCTTAAGAGGTTAAACCTTGTATCAAGACATAACATTTGGACCCTATTTGTTTATTCTGGAACACTCTGTGTGCCAGAAGTGATTGGTGACCACTTATTCTGAAAAAGTTGCCCACCCCTCTCACACAGGCTCTGTTTATAAAGCAGAGTGAGTATTCTATAAATTGCGAAAGTGCATTGCAATCCCGAATGTGTGCTTTTGTAGTAAAATAATCACTAACTCTAGCCCACCCCAGCACTGTAAGCCAATCACCACTGGGCAACTTAACAAAGTGGTTTTGATGTATCGCTCATCCCTTTGTATATAGGAGAACTGATACGTCTGTGGAATTAGCACTGTTTAATAAAACATTGCAAATAACCTATAAGAATCCTTTATTTAATTTGATACTCTGTTTTAATTTATAATTTATATTATGGATTTAGCAAATTACACCACAATCCATTTCAGTCAAGGACCAGAGAGGGGAAATATCGCAAATAAGAAGAAATTAAATAAACATATCAATATTAGGTCATCCTAACTGCACAACACAATCCAGGAGTTTTCATAGTATGCTTACTTATCTCCTATTTAAAAATAAATAAAAATGTAACTGTAAAGTGTAAAAAAGAATAAAAAAAGGATGTATCTAACTATACATATGTGTGTGTGTGTGTATGTGTATATATATGTATGTGTGTGTGTGTGTGTGTATATATATATATATATATATATACACCATCACACACAAAGAAAACTCTTTATCAGGGAACTAGGCACCTCCATCTTTGCTTCCTGTCAAGCTCCGTCCTTTGCATCTAAAGTATAAATTATACAGAGAAGGTTAGAATTTAAACGATGTTTTTCTACATTGTAGTTGTGGAAGGTTCTGTGTAGCTTCCTTGACAGTCATGCAATTTTAAAGTAGGGCAAGAATAGAACATGTGTAAGGTAAGGCAAGAGACAGCAATAGCCGCAAGGCACTTAACGTTTCATTAATCACTTTCATTCCTTCATCTTGAGTAAAACGTAAAAAAATTCCAGTGGATAATCCAGTGTTGATCTTTTTGACCTTATTACATGCTAAACATTCCCTGGGATGCATTAAGCAATGCTGATTTTTTTTTTATTGTTAGTGATACAGTGATGGCGCTATTTATAGAGGAACGAATTGATATTGTTCTTCATGCTGGGGGACGAAGTCATAGGGAAATTGGACTTCAACCATCGTCACCCAGGAAGCCTACCTATCACAGTGCAGTAACAAAACTTAGCAAGAAATTCCAGGAAACTGGAAGTGTTCATGACAAAAGAAGAAGTGGACGCCCAAAGACCGCAACAGATGAAGAATCCTCCACCAAGATATTGGCTGCATATGCCAAAAGCCCATATAAAAGCTCTCGTCAGTTATCATACTAGCGTGGATTCAGCCAAAGGTCTATGGTACGTGTGCCGAAACAAAAGAAATGGCACCACTACAAACTCCAAATGTTTCAGAACCTCAGTGAAGATGAACCTGACAGCCATGTGGAATATTGCGAGCAGTCAGATGATGACGTCTCAATGCTGACATCAAAGGTCATGTATAGTGATGAGGCACCCACTTCAGGTAATAAAGATGTATAACCTGAATAAATATCTCTCCAATTGGATTTCACCATTGGTTTTGTAAGAAGATTTTACACATAGTGGTCTATGACCCATTCTTTAGTTTGTTTTTTTTTTTTGTGAAAATCTTTTTATTAAGATGTTTTCATTCTTTAGTTTTTAAATTATTAAGGTTCATTCAAGATGGTGAAATGGTATGGTAACCCCTAATTGTGAGTATTAACGTTATTATGACAAAAACATCTTTTATAGCTTTTTTTTTATCACTGGAACATATATGACCAGGATGGATGACTAGCGACTTTTCTTTTTCTTCAATTTGAATTGTTTATGTATTGGACCTGGTGTTGTGCTGCTTTTGCACTGCGGGGGTGGACTAAAATTGGTATAAAAAGTATAAAGAATCTCAGATGAAACATTGATTTTACAGAAAATTGTAGTTCTCTAGCTAATTTTCTATTTTGATGCAATGTTTACGATTTCTTAATAAACAGATTCACTTATTTTAAGAGAATGGGATGTATCTGTGTATGCTAATCTGATAATTCAGGTAAAATCGTCGTAATCAATGGTTGCTGCAAACAAAATCATAGCCATACTTTTGTACAGACAATTTATTAAACTTGCATTGTTTTCTTGCATACCTCCTTATAAACACACATACAAATGCACTCATGCATTACACTAGTCAGTAAATTTCACATTCAGATACACATTTAGTTAAAGCAGCATGGTCACCGTCTGGGAACTTTGCGAATTCGGCAAAGTCCCTCAACGGTGACAGTGTTGCTTTAACTAAATGTGCATGCGCGAGAGTACAGCATTGAGGCCAGTGGGGAATCCGCAAGACCACAGGATTCTCCATAGATCCAGCCAATACCCTGCAGCCACCACTGATGACAGCTGCAGGTCTTGACACTAAGGCTCTGCCTTGTGTCTGGAAATGTCAGACGGAGGAGAAATTCCAAGACAAAGTAGTTCCTACTTTGTCTCTGTATATCTCTTGACTAGGTGAATTTCAGAGAAATTCCAACACACAATGAATATTTCATATTTTCATATCTTTATAATATACTCATTTATAATTTGGGGTGACAGTGTCGCTTTTATAAAATCACATCAATGATGAGCTAACCACCAATCTAGCATGCTGCCTTTGCCAAGCATTTTATGCAATGGAAACCCCATCTTTTGGGCATTATTTAAATGAAATAAAAGTGCATTAAAATTACTGTTTTAAAAATAAGTAATAAATAATAATAATTCAGAGTTTATTTTCCACAACACTAAAACTGTACTCTTATCAATTAAATGAGGTTATTGTGTTTTGTATTTTGAACTTACTCTGACCATACAAGAAATATAATATTTATAGAACTTCACAGTGTTTCTGTATACACAAATATAATATATGCTGGCTGTGCATCATATGAAAGGAAGTCCACAACAGCATGATCAATAACCATACCATAAGATGTCCTCATTGTTAAATGGACACTATAGTCACCTGAACAACTTTAGCTCAATGAAGCTGTTTTGGTGTATAGAACATGCCCCTGCAGCCTCACTGCTCAATCCTCTGCCATTAAGGAGTTAAATCCCTTTGTTTATGAACCCTAGTCACACCTCCCTACATGTGACTTGCACAGCCTTCCATAAACACTTCCTGTAAAGAGAGTCCTATTTAGGCTTTCTTTATTGCAAGTTCTGTTTAATTAAGATTTTCTTATCCCCTGCTATGTTAATAGCTTGCTAGACCCTGCATGAACCTCCTGTATGCGATTAAAGTTCAATTTAGAGATTGAGATACAATTATTTAAGGTAAATTACATCTGTTTGAAAGTGAAACCAGTTTTTTTTTCATGCAGGCTCTGTCAATCATAGCCAGGGGAGGTGTGGCTAGGGCTGCATAAACAAAAACAAAGTGATTTAACTCCTAAATGACAGTGAATTGAGCAGTGAAATTGCAGGGGAATGATCTATACACTAAAACTGCTTTATTTAGCTAAAGTAATTTAGGTGACTATAGTGTTCCTTTAACTGGAAAACTCCAACCCTTATTCCCTATAGCAAACCCATCTGATTATTATTTTATTTTTTCCCCTTTTCTCAACTACTTTAACAGCTTGCACTTTTAGTTAACGGGTCCATCATTACTTAATGTGGCTTTTGTATGAACTAATTAAGACAAGTTGTTTTGGAAGATATCCACCCCTGATTGCCTATGGAAAATGTAGAAGCATTTTATGTAGTGAATAGAATATGAAGCATGAGGGTTGACAGCTGTGTGAAACCGGTGCATGAATAAAGATTTTGCTTTCAAAGTTTAATAACACTTTAAAGAGCTTAGGAACGTAATAAATTAACAGATATTTTCTATTTGTTTTGATCGTATTCTTTAATACTAGGCCAGTAGCATAGCAGTAATAATAACTACATCTTAGGGTGCTCAGAGAGGCTGTTCATGCAACCACCTTATATCCCAACTAATAGCATACAGTATCTGCTAAATATGTTTTATGTATTCAGCAGCACAGTGTATAGATTATATCTCTGTACCTACCTGAATATTAACAATTTCACCCATGCAATTTGTGGCTGACAGGTTCACGCAGCCAAAGTAGACACCCACATTGAGCAATTTAACAATTACCCTATTGCACAATAGAATGTATTATTAATACGCAGTTGCACAATGGGGATAAGAAAGGAGCAATGAGTGAACCTGTCTCTGCATCCGTAGCACACGAACGTAGCCTGTCCCCTTACAACTTAGGAAGGTTTATCAGAGGAGATCTAAAGATTTCACCTTACTTGCAGGAATACACATCTCAGATCCCATTTCTGTGTGTTTAACGAGACCTGGTACCCTGGAAAACATGTTATTAGTACTTCTGTTGATCTTATATTTAAAGGTAATGATGAGATCAAAGCCCCCTTTAGAAAACTCAAAGCCATGATCAATAGTTAACTTGCTAAGTTGCAGACAGTAGTGGGTTTCTTAAAGGAGCACTCTGTTAGAAATACAAGCATGTAGTTCTAACTGTTTTCTCCTGCCTGTTTAGATGTTGGGGAGCACTCGACAATCCTAAAATATACAAGTTCTACATATTTTCAATCACTTGCCACGCAGGACTCGCTGCTTCCCTGACGAAAATCTTTACTGATCATTTCGGCAGATCCAGTGGTTCTTCTTAAGAAAACACTGGGGGGCCAGCTGTGCTGCTTCCGTTAGCGTCTCTTCATAGATCTGTATTATCCCAAAGCATCATTATGGGGTGCATTATGTGTATCCAAGCAGCAAGTGTAAACGCTGAGCATCTGTCTTTCAAAGATTGTAAAACATAACAGTTAGGACCAGTAGTGACTGTCCTTAGAACCGTCCACAGAAACAAATGTAGGCACTGACTTGTCACAGAAATGCACAATCTTTAAATATGACTTCCTTATCTGTATTCTTACACAGCTCAGCTATTGACAGCAGAGAGGGAGCTGAACATCTATATACCAAGCCGCCTGCGTTAGGAGATGACACCCAGGCAGATACAGAGTAAGTGAAATACTACCGGCCTGTGTCTTCCGTTTGTAACTTGAATGAGATTTGAATGAAGCAGCTTTGTTGCTTATTACATGAAAGCAGAGGAAACCCATGTAGACTAAATATTATACCGCAAGATTGGTTCACTTAGCGGAAGGAAATCCCAGGGTTAGTGCTGAGCATAGCTATACTTACCATTGACTGCTCAAGGGCAGCTTTAATGAAAATGTTTTTTATGCTTTTTAAATGTTATGTAGAAGATAATGGAAAGTTTTGTTAGAGTGCATTTTTTTAATGATAATTTTATGCATTAAAGAAGAGGTGAATTTGAAACTGGCGTTCCCTTCAATCTCATTTGACAGAGCAACTTGCACCTACCTTGCAGGGCCAGATTAAGAGCCCAGTGGGCCTGGTGCTGACAATTATGATGGGGCCTAATTACAGAATCTTATTGACCAAAAACAATAAAACAGTCATACCTCCCAAGCGTCATGTATCTGATGGAGATGGTGTTGGAGGGAAACTCAAAGGATGCAGCTATAAGAAAACACATACTCTATGCTAATCTCTCTCTAATTTATGCTTTCATCTTTCAAGTAAATCCATACCAACTAACAGCAGTGTCTAGTGAAGCAGGAAGTCAATGGTCAGGGTAAAAGGGTGGGCCACTGACGCAAATCACGTGACCAGAACTGCCAAAAGGGGCGAACATGCCCAAAAAGGGGGCATGTCTGTCCAAAGAATTGAAGGACAGCCTGGCATCAGTGTCCCTATGTATCACAGTGTCAGTGTCCCCATGTCGCCCAGTCCCCTAGTCTCCAAGTGTCTCAGTGTCCTCATTTCTCCCTGTGTCCTCATTTCTCCCCGTGTCCCCATGTCTGTGTTTCCCGTGTCACTACGATACTAGGGGACACTGAGACACTTGGGGACACTGGGAGTCATGGGGGCACTGAGACACATGGGGGCACTTGTGGATACAGACATGGGAGACACTGGGAGACATGGGGACACAGACTCTAGGACACATGGGGACACTGAGACATTTGGGGACACTAGGGACACTGAGACATGGGAACACAGACACTGGGAGACATGGGGACGCTGGAACACTAGGGAATCTGGCTGGGAGGCATGGGGAGATTGAGACACTTGGGGACACTGGGAGACATGGGGACAATAGGGGCACTGAGAGTCAAGGGTTCACTGAAACACTGGCTGGGAGACATGGGGACACAGACATTTGGGGACACTGGGAGACATGGGGACACTGGGGGCCATGGGGACATTGAGAGACATGGGGACACAGACACTGGGAGACTAGGGGACACTGAAACACTGACTGGGAGACATGGAGACACTAGTGTCTCCATGTCCCAATGTGTCTCCCAATGTCCCTATGTCTTCCTTTCCCCCCTCGCCCCATCCTTCACTTCCCTGAGCTGCAGGCTGGGAGCTGCTGTCTGAACTCTCTGTGTAGCTGCTCCCCCTGCGGATCAGTGAGTAGAGAAAAGCAGGGAGGGATATGATGTAACTTCCTATCCCTGCCTCTCTCCACACACAGTGACCCCTATTGGCTTGTGCTGGTATTGCAGAGTAATCTCCGTTTATACTGAGAAAAATATCGGCATTTGTATTGCCGTTATTACTGCAATACCGTCATGGCCAGGCAGCCTCAAATACTGGCTGTGCTGGTAAAATACCAGTCAGGCGGCAAACCCAAGAGTAGTGTGTGTAAAATAAATAAATAAATAAGTTTACTTTTTTAATTTTATTTATTTTTTAATATTTTTTTTTTTTTTGCCTGGGCCTAGAGCTGCAGCTCCATCAGCCCCTATGTTAATCCGGCCCTGCTACCTTGAGTGACTTTTGATATATCTTGTGTCATTTTAATGAAACCGTTATTCACAGAGGACATCACAGGGTTAAACGTTGTTGTGTTCGAGCTGGTGCTAATGCTTTTTATAACTCTCTTTGATCTAGCATTTGCATTGTGCGTGGAGTAGAAATAATTTCTGCTGATCCTAAATAGTCTTTATTTGCCCCTACCAACCATGTGCTGTGGTGCAATTCCTTTCTATTATGTTTGTACAGCTCAATGATTCCTTGTTTTTTATTTTGCAGGACTTTAAATTGACATCGATGTTTAACATTTGATGTAGTGTGTATATTACGTTACCATTTGTATCGCTTGATATTGTGATTGATTAGACCTTGCATTATTTCATGATATTCCCGATCCAACTCCGGTGAGTAAAATATGGCCCAGTAATTTTCCAGTGACACCTGTTCTCCAATAGAGATATCATCTGATTGTGACTTTTTGTATGAAACACATAGTACAGTACATAGTACCTGAGCCCAAAAGGTAGGAGGGTGGCTAAAATTATGTATTTTTCTTTTTTAATTTTGTGTATCTGTTGTGTGTATGTCTGTATGTGTATCTGTCACATCTGTATTTGTGTGTGTGTATTTGAGTGTATCAATAATAATACTTTTTGTGTGTCTGTCTGACTCTGGCGTGTCTGTGTCTGGAATGTGTGTGTGTCTGTCTCTGGCGTGTATGTGTCTGTCTGTCTTTGGCGTGTGTGTATGTGTCTGTGCCTGTCTGTCTGTCTCTGTGTCTTTGTCAGTGTGTGTGTGCCTGTGTGTCCCTGTCTGTCAGTGTGTGTGTGTGTCCCTGTCTGTCAGTGTGTGTGTGTGTCCCTGTCTATGTGTCCCTGTCTGTCAGTGGCTAGATCATCAGCCCCCTCCGATCACATTGGGAATTATGTTTTTACTCATCTTTTTTTCCAGCGCTGTGCCGGCCTCCGTAGCTAAGATGATCAATTACCAATCAGCATCTCCTCATAAAGATGCATTAAATCTAAAAACTGGCTCCTAACTTTTTTTAGCTGGCCCTGCACTAAAGTGTCCATTTAAGAACTAGTTTGAGAACCTCTGATCTATTGCACATGGCTCCAACTGTGATTATGGCAATGGTTACCTGTAAAGTTTAGTGTCGCCTTAAGGAATGCTTTAAAATCCTTGAATCGTAAGAAATGGAAATATGAAGAAATCTGAGATGGCCCTTAGTAATTTGGGGCTAATTACAGTAAGAGGTTTATTCAATAAGAGTGAAGGGACTTGAAATACATTTATTTTAATGCTTAAACATGTATTCCTGACCCTATAGTGTTAAAACCACTATCTAGCCCACTTGGCCCCCTTTGTCTCCCTAAAGATAGTAGAATCTTACTTGTATTCAAGTCTGAAGCTGCTGCCTCTGCCTGTGAACTTATTCTGACCTCTGACATCATCAGAAGTGGTGGCCTGATCCAATCACAATGCTTCCCCATAGAATTGGCTGAGACTGACAAGGAGGCAGATCAGGGGCAGAGCCAGCATAATTCAAGCACAGCCCTGGCCAATCAGCATCTCCTCATAGAGATTAATTGAATCAATGAATCTCTATGAGGAAGGTTCAGTGTTTGCATGCAGAGGGAGGAGACACTGAATGTTTGGATGCATTTTAGGCAGCCATGACCCAGGAAGGATCTCTAACCGCTATCTAAAGGAGTGGCCAGTGAAGTTATCACTAGGCTGTAATGTAAACACTGCATTTTCTCTGAAAAGACAGTGTTTACAGCAAAAAGCCTGAAGGTAATGATTCTACTCACCAGAACAAATTCAATAAGCTGTAGTTGTTCTGGTGACTATAGTGTCCCTTTAATGTAACTGACACCCAGATCAGTTGAGGGCTTTAGCACCTACAAATCAGATGAGGATTGTGAATCAGTGTTGGAAACAGAATCTGAACTCAGCACCTAAAAAATCATTGAAGGCAACTAAAATTGTTCATGTTTTAAAAGCCTTGTAAACCAGCACAATCACTGCCGTATACAGACTGATATACTCAAATTCACTCACACACCCTAAAATAGCATGGCTGAGCTGCTTCCTGAGGGGAACTGTGTTTCTGGCACGACCCACCGTTAAGGATCCTGCACCCAGTATGGAGACAGGGAACTGAAATATGTCAGTCTGAATCGTATCCTCAGTCATGTTAGAAGAAAGGGCTTTCTACCCAGGACACAGCTCGACCACACTTCATTAGTGAACAAGCCCTCAGCAGACTGTCCGTGCAAACATAATTACAACCTAACAACGGCTGCCGAGTGTCTGACTGAGCAGACTGGTAATATAGGTGCACATAGCTTTCACTTCAGGCCCCAGGTCACAACAACTGAGGGGGATATGGGGGTGGTGGGTCATAGAATATGTCTAATACAATAATAAATAGCATGTTTATGAAAAGGTGTCCATATATGTAAACCCCCACTATTATTTGACCACATGAAGTTTCAATTCATTGCAATTTCTGCACATTGTGGTCAAACAAATGCTGGAATACAATTAATATACCATGTATTCCTGACCCTATAGTGCAAAACCCACCATTTCGATGGTAACCCCCAGCCCCTTTAAAAGTATGAAAAACTCAGCTTATTTCCAGCGCCCTGCAGGTCTGCCAGCACTGGCCCCACCCGCTTAGTGACATCATCAGAATTGTCGATTTTTAGCCAATCCAATGCTTAAAGGCAGTGTTTGCAAATTTTCTGAAACATGTCCACACTGTAATTATTTTACAAATATTGTCAAGAGAAATGTGCTTTTTTAAATGCTACTAGAATGACAAAACACATTCTCCCGTGTCAGAGGGGTCCTAAAAATCCTTGGTGATTAAATCTAATTGCCAGTATAGGGAGTAAATAAGGTTTTATTTCCCTTTTTGTGGTACAATTGGCCATTGCTTCAGAATTTTCTTTTTAATTTCTTTAGTATTTACAGAATAAAAGATGTTTCAAAGGTTAAACTTGATGGACTTGATTATTATTATTACTATGTAACTGTTAATAATGAGGACCATAGCAGTGACAGTGCATGTAGCTTCCACTCTCCAACGTTCCCGTTTCAGTGACACTCTCTTTGCTTTTTCTGTTACAGCTGCGTCATCACAAAGGGCTTCTACACAAGCAGCATCTCCAAGTAAGTGTTGCAAACGAAGCCTCCAAAATATACTCCATACCTTTTATTTAAAGGACCACTATAGTGCCAGGAAAACATACTCGTTTTCCTGGCACTATAGTGCCCTGAGGGTGCCCCCACCCTCAGGGTCACCCTCCCGCCCGGCTCTGGGAGGAGGAAGTGGTTAAAACTCACCTTTTTTCCAGCGCCGGGCGGGGAGCTCTCCTCCCTTTCAGCTGAATGCGCACACGCGGCAAGAGCTGCGCGCGCATTCAGCTGGTCTCATAGGAAAGCATTCATAATGCTTTCCTATGGACGCTTGCGTGTTCTCACTGTGATTTTCACAGTGAGAATCACGCAAGCGCCTCTAGCGGCTGTCAATGAGACAGCCACTAGAGGATTTGGAGGCTGGATTAACCCTATTATAAACTTAGCAGTTTCTCTGAAACTGCTATGTTTATTAAAAAAAAAAGGGTTAACCCTAGCTGGACCTGGCACCCAGACCACTTCATTAAGCTGAAGTGGTCTGGGTGCCTAGAGTGGTCCTTTAAAGATAAGCGGACACCTGGAAATCATGGAAACGTCTTTCAGGCTTTTGCAAGAGCAATATGTTCCTCTGGAACCCCATTGCCAACTGAAACAGATATTGGCAAGCTTTTAAATTACGGAGACCATCCTACTGTTTGCCAGCAGACATCCCTCGAGCAAAACTCTTTTAGAGTCCCAATATAAGCGTGTAACGGAATGACCCGTGAAAGGGAAGAGGCTTCTCTCAATCTCTGCAAACCTTCAGGCTTGAGGAGTAGATGATGAAAAAGATGATGACAAATATAAAGGAGCAAAAGAAGAAACTGATCACAATAGACCAGAAAACGAGACGTTTGGAACTTTTTTTTTTCCTTTGCAGTGCTTAGTGAATATTCCCCAAGACATACAGAGCTATATATATTGTTACAGGGTGTCCGTCCCATGTCCTGCTTTCTACATTTGTTACATAGCTAAAATATTACTGTATACATAGCTTGAAAGACCGAATGGTCAGTAGGCCTGATTTTAGGCCTGACTATTGCTTATTATCTTATTTATTTTATATTTTTATATAATTTTTATACTCTGTATATGTTTTATTATACATTTTAGGCGCACCCTTATCTTTATTTGCTTTCTGATTTTAATACAAGATGCTCATGCTTTGAAAGAGTTAAAGTCTAATTTTTTTTTTTTTTTAAACATACAATATATTTCTGTTCTTGTGTTCCTGCGCCTGACACCAGCTTTCGCTATCTTTTATAAACATCCAGCACTTGAACAAAATCGCATTCTTTCTATCACCTGCAATTCTTAATTGTGTTCCTATTCTCATACTGCCACTTGCATCAGTGAACAGGAGACCAACTAACAGCATTACAAAAAGTTATATGAAAAGTTATACTTTCGGTTCTGAGACGCCCGTGATTGGTCAATGTTTCCATTGAGGTATACACCCCTAGACTAACTGTGTTTTATACATACGATGTACTACGCATTAAACTTTGGAATGCTTATTTGATACTACATCTGAGTGGTGTAACTTCATTGAGTATTCCCAGCAGCTGATAAGAAAAGCAGAAACTTTGTTAGTGCATAAAACCATGGCAGTGTAAGGGTTTCCAGACCCATGCACGATTGATAATGTTTAAGTTGATAGATATATATGGGTGACTGTAAGGAAGGTCTCTTTTTGTGCTTGAAAAAGCCTCTAGAGGCAGGGCGAAATGTGTTAGCGTCACACGCCAGGCGAGTACCCGTAAGCATGGAAACCAATTGATATGGCAGTCGGCAGACAAATTAACTATGAGTAAACTATGAGAAATATCAGATTGAACAGAGACTGTGTTTCGCTAGAGGGAGCTGAGAATACCTGTATTACAAGTTGTTTTTAACTGAATAAGGAAATAAAAGTGGTAACCTGGCTGGTGGTGAGTCCTTCAATGCAATACAGATTCGGATCAGGCGCACACAAGGGGCTGATCCTCCCCGAGTGGTACTTTATCCCCTCTACTTTTGTGAGTGTTAGCTTGATATTTATAATATTTAATATGATAACATGACAGATTTTATATCTACTGCAGTCATAGGCGTGCGCACGGGGTGTGCCGGGTGTGCCTGGGCACACCCTAATCCCCGTGCGCACGCCTATGGTTTGAGTCCTGCAGGAACAGCGGTCCTGCACTTTTTTTGAGCAGGAACGCTGTTCCTGCAGGCACTCAGTGTCTCGTTTCCACCTTCCGCCACTGCCAGTCATGGGAGGGCAAGAGGTGATGTGATTCCCCCCCACCTGCAGCTCAGCCGCCATGGGGAGCCTCTGCCTCTGCTTCTTCGCTGCTAAAGTGATGTCGGGAGCCGAATAAGGACGCCATATCTCTGCCCCAGTTACAGCAGCCAAATGCCCAAGGCTGCCAGAGGGAAGTGAGAGCAGAGCCCTCACAAGGCCACTGGAGAAAGGCCTGCCCCACTGGACTTAGGAATAAGTCCACCTGCAGTACCCAGGTAGGAGGCTGGGTGGACATTTCTAAAAAAAAAAAATGAAATGGCAATAATTTGTGTGTGTGTGTGTGTGTGTCAGTGAGTGTGTGAGTATGTGTCAGTGTGTGTGTGTGTGTGTCTGTGAGTGTGTGTCAGTGAGTGTGTGAGTGTGTGTGAGTGTGTGTGAGTATGTGAGTGTGTTTGAGTGTGTGTCAGTGAGTGTGTGAGTATGTGTCTGTGAGTGTGTGTGAGTATGTGTCAGTGTGTGTGTGTGTCAGTGTGTGTCTGTGAGTGTGTGTCTGTGATTGTGTGTAAATGTGTGAGTATGTGTCTGTGAGTGTGTGTGTCAGTGAGTGTGTGAGTATGTGTCAGTGTGTCTCTGTGAGTGTGTGAGTGTGTGTCTGTGAGTGTGTGTCAGTGTGAGTGTGTGAGTGTGTGTCTGTGAGTGTGTGTGTCAGTGAGTGTGTGAGTATGTGTCAGTGAGTGTGTGTGTGTCAGTGTGTGTCTGTAAGTGTGTGAGTATGTGTGTGTCAGTGTGTGTGAGTGTGTCTGTGAGTGTGTGTGTCTGTGAATATATATATGTATATATATATATATATATATATATATATGTATATATATATATATGTATATATATATATATATATATATATATATGTGTATATATATATACACACACACACGCGGCGTATGTTTGTGCTTTAGGGTGCACACCCTAATGCAATAGGCTGCGCACGCCTATGACTGCAGTGTATTAAAGATTTTTTTTTGTGGCTATATAAACATATTTACTTGGTAACACAATTCTGACATCTACTGGTCATTGTGTATATTGCATGTAAAGACTAATACTAGTTTTCTACAGTAATAAACTGACAACCACGTTTCAACATTTATGCCAAAACACCCAATTTAGAGAAGCGCAGTTCAGTTTGTTCTCCCCCTAATAAATATTTAAACACAAACTCTGTTAATGAGATGCTGTATTACTGTTAACTTAAAATTTCTATTACGTTTCTCTGTTAAATAACGAACACGTGTTACTACACACATTTGTTGGAATAAACACCCTCCCAAGTCTTCCTGCTCTCCCCTCTCCTGGAACAAAGTGACCGGAGGCCGGTGATATAGATCTTTGATCTCCAAACCAGTCTGAGAAGGCAGATATTGAGACTGGCAGGGGGTGGAGCCCACAGACATCGCAGTGGGGCCCCTATGCTACCCAACTTGCCCATGTGGAAAGACGACCCTGCAGATGAAATACTCTGATTCCAGTTCAGACTCCTCCTCTGAAAAATCTTCTTATGAAGGATCCATTGAATCCTCTGATGAAGATAATTTTCCTGAGGACAGTATTCACAAGCTAATAAGAGAAGTTCGATCCCTTATGGAAAATAAATAACCAATTAAGGGGAAAATCCTAGATCTTCCCTATGTATCCTTCGTTAAAAGAGTTAATGCTTAGGGAACGGAAGTTTCCTGCAAAAATAACTTTTATCTATAAACAATTAAAAAAAACGTTTCAAACAGAGAGGAATCTGACCATAAATTAGAATATTTAACAAACATAGATCTTCGAATTGCTCAACTGGGAAAGAAACCTACCTTGCCTATAGGTGATTCCGGTGACCTTCAAGATTCTATGGATAAACAGTGGCTAGGAGGGCTAATTGGTAGAGAAACTGGTCAGCACATCATGTCTCCAAAAACATCCTATATTATCTACCATTCTAACTAGGGAGACTTTTTGGCTTTAAACTGGATGATTTATTAAAACAAATGGCTGAAGAGAAGAAAGCATTGTCTGAAGATCACAAGAAGAAGCAATGGAACAATAATTATTTCAGAGGAAGATCTTCATATTAAGGTTCCTTTCGGAAGAGCTCTGCAAACAGAGGAGATATTTTGACTACCAATGTAAAGATAACTTTTCAGAGAAGAAAAATTATAAATTGACGCAATGCCAGTGGGAGGAAGACTTATTAATTTTTTTCCAAAATGAGAACAGACCACCTCAGATAGATGGGTTCTATCTACCATCTAAAAGGTTGTCAATTGGAACTCTCAAAAATTCCACCAAGTTGATAACTTTGTTCTACAGTACATACTTCGGAAACAGCTTTAGCACTTTTGAGAGAAGTACTTATAATATTGCAAAATAATGTTGTAGAAATTCTACAAAAAGAACAATATTTCAGAACATAGTCAAGACTCTATCTAGATCAGAAACCAGATTTGGACAACTTGGACTTAAAAGCTGTGATCTGATTCCAAAAAATCCAATCGGTTGACTAAGTTCAATGCATTTAAAAGATGCGTACCTTCACATTTCTATGGCATGAACAAGTTCTTCAATACCAATTTAAGGTTCTTCCATTTGTCCTTTCCTCTGCTCTGAGAGTTTTCACAAAGATGCTGGTAATGATAACTGCAGATCTTAGAAAAAAAGGTCTGCTTATTGTTCCCTGCCTAGACGACTGGCTACTCGTAGCTTCTTCAAAAGAACAGCTTGTTATGGGTATAAGAACTGCTTCAGAGTCTCTAACAGAACATGGCTAGGTCATCAACAAGGAAAAAATCAGAGTTTTCTCTCACTCAATTAATTCAGTTTTTAGGTCTAATTCTAGATATTCCGATGAAAATATTTTTAATGAAAGAAAAAAAGAGAATGTTTCTCATTATATTCAGAAACTAAAATGAAAGATAAATTGTTTAGTAAGAGAAGTCATGAGTTTTTTAGGAATTCCACAGCAGCCTTTCCAGCGGTCAACTGGGCAAATTCAAGAATGAGTCCCTTACAGAAAAATATTCTAACACCTTGGAACAAGAAAACTTCCACCTTAGATCAACTAATAAAACTGAATTGTACAACACTCAAAGGCTTCCACTGGTGGACAACATCTATCTTCCTGTAAGTAGGTCTCTCCTTTGGAACAAAAGCTGTAAAGTTCCTCACTACAGATGCCCCCAGACAGGGATGTGGCGCTCATTTAGTGACAAAGAAGAAAAAGGGAAATAATATGGAAAATTCATAAGAAGATCTTCCATCTTCGGGAAATTAAAGGCGATCTTGTTGGCCTTTATATCTTTCAAGCCACATCTCAAAACTCAACATGTACAGATAGGAGCAGACAACCCTAAAGCAGTAGCTTATGTAAATAGAAAAGAAGGATGTACAAGATCTTTTCTCCTAGAACAGCTGTGTTCCCAGATCATGTTTTGGTCGGAGCTTCATCTTCTCTCGATCTCACCAGTTCATATCAAAGGAGATCACATTACATTGGCAGATGCTCTAAGCCGGAATCACCTGAAGCAAGCGGACTGGTCTCTTACAGCCCACATATTTTAGGATATCGCAGCAAGTTTCAGTACACCAGTACCAGACTTCATGGCAACAAAGACAAACCGAAAAACACACAAATTTGCCTGCCTGAATCCAGCAGACAGTCCAGATTTAATTTGCCCTTTCTATT